GGAATACTCTAAATACTGTTCTTAAAACTCCCCAAAATATATTGAAGCCAGTTTTCACTCCATCTCGGGGCTGGCAGAGCTACATTAGGTGAGGATTTATCAGCAGTTATTTACAAAGTCTAATCAGCTCCTAAAGACTTTGATACTTTTGAGCAACAAAGATGTACATCTGGAAATCCAAGCAAGCAAAGTACATTACACAGCTCTCCAGGTTCTGTTAGTTCTCTGAATAATTGTATGTCCATGCAAATCCATGTCACACAGGTATTTTATTGCTTACGCACAACATATTACCCTCATAGCCAGTGAGCTCCCACAGGAGGGTGCCTGAAGCCTCTTTGCTCTGGCAGTCTTTTCCTCAGTCCATTTCCCTACACTACCAAAGCTCAAGAAGATCTGCAAGGTGGACCTGTCTCAAACAGTGGGACCAATTTTGCAAGGTGGGGTGGGGCACTTCCCCTTTTGGCTTTTCTCCTTTCTCCTCTCTGTCTTCAGCCTTTCCACACTTCTACTCTGCCTCCACCCAGCTCTGTATAGGTTGCAATATATTGATGTAATGGCAAACTGTTGTGGTTGGTCTGGTGGCCCTTTGAAGTGCTCGTGTCCTTGTTCTCAAATGCTTGAGCTCCTTTTAAGGAAGTAAAGCAGCTCAGAGCAAGGACACTTGCCTGCACAAATAACTAGCTTCTGGTACAGTTTCTCACGTCTAAATGCCCATGGCAAGAGGGAAAACCACAAGATATAACAACAATGCCATGTTCCCAATGATGCTAGCTCTAGGGGAGTAAGTGTCAGAAGGCTCTTCCCTTTTAACTTATATTCCCATGCTAGTGTTTTGGATTTTAAAGAAAGTTTCTAACTTCACATTAATCAGCTCTGTCACGCACTGATGTCCAGGACTACCTTGGCTTGCAACATTAGGTATCTCTGTCAGTTATCCAAGTTTCAACTCCATTTTGTGAGATGAACCGTCCCCACTACCTCCTCTCAAAAAGAAGACTATCTATACATACTGTGCATTCCAGGTCCATGCTGTAATGTGCGACTAAGATATGAATACTTTTTGTACAAGAAACCCATGAGTTATACACCAGAATTCTAAATGGTCATCTTCAGCATCAGACAGCTGCCAGAGCAGAAATGTTGATGTTCTGAGCCCACAGCTACTTTCTAAGTCCAGTGAAACTGTGAGATGGCTTTTTCTTTTTTATCCATCAATGGCTAGATATGGTATGGGCAGTTATGGATAAACAGGTTACCTTCTCAGACAAGCATTACCACTGCAACAAGTAGCTTTTTATGCATTAAACAGGGTCTGAGTAACAGCTCACTGACTTATTAGCTTCCCACACATGGCTCGAATTAGGATACAGTCCCCAGGCTGAAATAGTCCTAAATTGAAACCATCTACTACACACAGGATGTTCAGTATCCACAAAAGATGCACGCAACATTTAACCTGAAACTTGAACAGAGGCAGCAGAAGATATTTCACATCAGCTTCTGTATTACAGGTTGGCATAGGAAATACAGCTGCTCATCTAAAATAAGCTACAAAAAAATGATTGCTAATGGAATAGAATTTCAGTTGATGCTTTTCTACATAGCTCAGAGGTACAAGAGGTATTAAGGAGCATCATAGACTAACGCAGATGGTAAAAGGGAGTCTTTTTCTGTGTGTGTGCCTTAAAAATCTAACTGTTGCATTTCTGAAAGTGTTACTGTATTTTCTAGAACAACTGAATCTACACTTCAGTGTAGAGCCCCGTAGTGTCCAGATAAACACAGAATCACAGAATAAGTCTGAGAAGGAAATCTAGGGTGGAGAAGATGGCAAGAAAGAATGAAGGTTTAGTGGATAAAGCAACAGAAATAAAATTTGCAAGAGGAAGCTGCTCAACACGTAACAGTATTCTGGGATTTACAACGTTAAAAGGATAGCAAGCTAATGAAGGAGATGAAGAGAGGTAGCAGTGACCTGAATACTTTTTTAATATGCTTCTTCGTTGTTGTCCTTCTGAGGGGTATTACTAAAAGCTGCTGATCACTTAGTTCCACAAATGATTTTTTCTCACTCATTTATCATTTCTTGATTGGTCAGAAGCAACCCACATCTTGAGCTCAACTGTGTCACACAACTGCAAGCATACATTTCAGGATCATGTAAACACCTTCCTTTGAAACTGGTGTCCTCTCTGGTGATTTTAATTGAGACTGCAAAAAACTGAAGGCTCCCCATGAAAATTTGGCAGGTGAATTCAGTATTTTAATTTATGAAGTCTACTACACCTTCAGTCAGAGAGGAAAGATGTTTCAGATAGTTCACTTTATCAGGTCTACAGCACCCAATTCAATTGTTAGTCTAGAGCTGGAAGAAGCAAGGGGAGCTAAAGCCTATCTTTCTTTAAAAACAAACAAACAAACAAACAAAACAACACTTTATTTCCTCTGATCTTTGACCTTTAAAATGCTAAATAGACGAAAAAAATAATAAGCTTTTGAAACTAAAGTTAAAGGTTTTATGAAGATTTACTATAAATCTGGTAAGCAGTCATCTGAACATATCTCACATGTTGATTAAAATTAACAACAGATTTCTTACTGAACTTTAATATGATGAGTTAGTTACTCTTTATATTTAAGAAAATTGCAATTTCCAGTATTACGTCTATAGCACTACATGTACAAAATGTGCTCCAGATCCTACTGGTCCTCTTTGATAAAGATTGGACTCAAATTAAGATTCCTCAGTGCATGTAGTTAGGGGAGATGGTCTTTCAGGATGCTGCAGAACAAATGGAATGTATTCAAATCATATGCTGAAATACAGCATGCAAAAGGGACTCCCTTTTCAAGACAGAAACAAATGGGAAATTAGAAAATTCACAGAAAGAAAATTGTTGTCTGGCAGTATCTGCTCACGCGCATTGCCTGTTGGTTATATCATTGGCCACTGCCTATCTTCCAGCTATAAGATGTATGTAGTATCAGCATGTGCCCTCTTCCTAGACACCACTCTTCTAACTACATTTTCAGAACTTTCTTTTCTAAGTTTTGTGATAAACAGAGATGAGAAACAGAACCTAGGACTTAGAGATGGCAACAATGGATGGAACACTAAGCCTGCCTGCATTGTTATACTACTGCTATAAAAAGATATTTCCCTGATATATGGGATTGCACAGGCCAAACACCTCTCTCAAAGCATTCCTTTTTCCCTAATAAACTAATTTGGCAATGATCCAGAATGTGCATAGAAATCATACAGATCATAATACATTTGAGAACATATTTTTTTCAGTATATCCTTTTCAAAAAGTCAGGTTAGCGCTAGAAAATGGAGTAGAAGAGGTGAAAGCATACGAAGCTTTATAGAAAAGATGAATATGACAAGTGTTGGAGTTGAAACCTACAGTTAAGATTATTCATAAAACAGAATACTATGAATTGTCATGTCTGTTATGTTACACAGCTTTCTGTTAACTATATCAATATCTCACTACAGGATGTACACTTGTATATCGAAGAGCTAGAGAAAATGGCTGTAGAAAAAAATATTGAAGGACAAGGAAAATCTTTTTTATTGCTGAGTGTGCAAAGTAAAACAAATAAGAACAACAGATTGAACTTATTTTAGGACACCAAAGGTAAAATGTTCTCCTTATAGAAATACAGTTTATTACAGTAACTCTTCGTATGTGTTCATAATGATACATATGTGAGCTACTGGAAGCAGAAAATGTAAATTTCAGCACTGCTGATTATCTATATCTGTGATGTGAAGTTTGGTCAGTGCAACCAAAAACCTGTGTGTTTATTCAGTTGATGTAGCAGGTGATCTTTACACTCATATTTTTAGTAAAAGAGGATCAAGAGATAAAATGAAATTACAAAAATTGCTATATTATCTAGCAGATAGTGCTGAAGTTTGGAAGTAGGCTCTATTGTAAGATGCTGTATTATCTTGACTTGATTATTTTGCCTTTACAGCCTCCCTTTCCACCTACCATCCTTTATTGTATTTCCTTCGACTATAAACATTGAAAGGCATTTGCAATCTTTGTGTAAGCAGTCTCCCATCCTGAACTCCATTCTTACAATGGAAATGCGAAAATGATGAGCAATACTTTTATTTGCAGATAAACAAAGGCATTTTAATAGACAGTCCTGTCTTGGAATACTTTTAATCACACAGGGCATTAATCAAAGCATTCCAGCATTCTGGGAGTCATTGAGCTTTTATTACTGTTATTTTTCCTATTGGTAAACAAGCATCATACTCAAGTAATACCATCTGTTTCTTAGTGGACTATATACGAGCTGATGCATGCAGTAGTCATCAACATCACTAGTCCATCAGCTGGACCGTGGAATTCCTAAAAAGAATCAGGGTTTTGCTAAGTCGCTTCTCAAAAATAATTTTAATTCAACAGACCTCAATGACTGTGGACTTTTACCTAGAAGAACAAAAATTGATTTTTTTTCTGACATCCTTGCAGTTAAAACAAAAGCAAGGGAAAATGAAGACCAGATACTAGAGTTTGAAACATGAATATTATATGTTTTCTACTGTAACATTCCTGGAAAAATCTTAATAGTTAACATTCAAGATAGCATTTAAAAATTGTAACAAAAATATCTGAGAATTTCCTGAATTTTTATCAAATCTGAATTCACATTATTTTGACCTGGAATCACATGCTTCACTCAATTGCCTTCATAGAATGAAAACAATCTTTCCTAAGGGGAACATCATGCAGTCAGTTATGCTTTAGAAAAAAGATAAGTAGATTTCTTTAACTTCTCTGCAGACGAAAAGGTTTGCTGTCCTTCAAAATGCGTTTCCCAAAGAGAAGGTTGCACAAAAAACACTAAGCACCCAAGTCATCCTTCGCTAGATTAGATGAAAAGGCATAGGACCTGCTATTATACCCACGTACTCTATAGTTGTTTAACATTATATTTGAGTAATACTTCTTAGAGCGGACTATTCATCTTACCCAAGACTCTCTCATTCTTAACACTCTGCTGTCCTCCAGTAGTAGTAGAAAGGTCCTCTGGTACAGGCATAGGTTCATCTGTGTCATCTGGGACATCACTAATTGGAGGACTTTCTTTTCCTAGTAGTGAAGAAAGCATTGGTGAATCATCAAGTAGCCTCATTCTCAAATAAAACTTAACAGAACTAGCCAAAGAATGAAATTTTATCTTTAGCTAAAAATTCAACTAAATCTTCATCAAGCTTCACTAATATCCATAGATCAGGCTTTGGCTGTCCTTCTGCCTACAAATAATCACATGCCTACAGTTCCGGGGAACTCCCCAAACACGTGCAGATAGCAGAGGTCGGTCGAAGCACAACTTCAAGGGTTTTATGATCTCATATTTGTAAAGAGGAAACAAACCTCTGTGTCTTTCACATATGAAGTACTGTAGAAGATATCAGTTAGGGGCTTTAGTATATTTTAACTATAATGGAACTGTGTTTATGCCGAATTCGGTACACTAAGGAAAATAACACTCCAGCTAAGCAGTGCGCTTCCAGAAACTGAGGAGTTTCTTGGTTTCCAGGATCAGGCACAGCATACACGTACTGCTCACAGGAGTGTATCTGTCTTGCACAGCTTCTTTCAGAATGATTTCACATATCTGCTTGCAAAACATTCCTTGGAAACAACTACTGAAAGAATTATTAAGTGATTAGTTTTCTTGACTACTCCTGAAAGACCAATCTTTGAATTAACAGCAAAGAAGAAAAAAGGCTCAGATCAGTATTTGAGCTCACTAACATTAACATAAGACCTTTGTCTCCAAAATGGAGATGTTACCAATTTACAGTGATGCAATCTATTAGACATCCTATGGCAATCAGCACAGCATAAGGAGCAGCAATTTCATGGCACAAAGGCCTAGAAAATAAGCGTTTATTTTAATGAACATTCTCACATGAACACACAAACATTCATTAATTCTGAAATCAGTTCTCAGAAAAAGAAAAATTTAAACAAACATTGCTTATGTAATTGCTAGCTGTCAGTTGATACAGATTTGTAACATAGGGTTCTGGGAAAAAAGAAAATGGCTTTCAGCCTCTTGGATGGAGCAGAGCATAGTGCCTTCTGGTCTTTACTGATCATGGCAGAATATAATAGGTAAGTTTAAGGATCTTCCACATGTTTTGCCTTCTTCCAGGGGCCTGACAAACTCAGGACTATGACAGTCCCAGTCCCAGTTTCATGCTCAGCCTGAGGGAAACACTACCCTGCTGTGCAATATGCTATATCTTCTCCATGCTCCAAGGGGCATGCAACTAAAAACCCCTCTAGGGTAACCTGTGCTCTCCCCTTTGCAGGAGAAAAGTGTAGATTACTAAAATTCCTACAAGAATTACTGTTAAAAAAACTATCTATATGTCCTTGAGAACAAAAGAACATTAAACTACTTGATACTCAACTTCTTTAATGGCTGTAATCCTTCTGTGAAGATCACTTCAAGTTATTTGAAAATAGGGTAACAATGGGGGAAATTTACTGTTACGGCGCACAGATATAGGTTTAAATGAATGTAATAAGTGAATACATTTTTTAATGATGCACCTATTGGGATGTGGAACAATCACTGAGAGGAGGTGGTGAGAGCAGTGCTGAAACTGTCCTGCCAAAGGACTTGAGGACCACCACAGATCAGTCACACAGGCACAGGGATGGCTGGGTGACTTAGTAGGGCTCCCTCCATCTCCTACTTCTGTGCTGTGTTCTTCAATGGACAGAATTATGCCCACTGAAAATGAGTGCAATAGTGATTGTGGATTGCATAAATGAAAAAGAGACTAGGAATTTCACAGCAAAGGAAAATGAAGTACATCTTTATAAAATTAAGGAATTGAAAGGAACTTCCAGCAGCTTTACTGATGCAAGTCCCATACCTATCAAACTGAGGTATATCTTATGGATAGGAGGTGTGAATGAGGAGAGGCAGCAGAAATATTCCAGGCTTTTCAACTCTCTCCCCAGAAAAAAAAAAAAAAAAAGAAAAACCACAAAAAAAAAAAATAAAAAAATAAAAAAATAAAAAAAACCCAGGCTGCTAATCTGAGAGTAAGAGGCAGCCTGGTCAGAATCAGCTCTCTTGGCACTACATCCAGGAAAAATGTTAAATAATAATATTCAAAAGCCACCTGTAACTTCCAAGGTGCAAAGTGTGCTCCCAGTTACACAAATAAAGATTGATTGTTTGCCTTAGCCTAGATTCAGAAGAACACATTACTTAAAAAGCTGAAGACTCTAATGGCTGCCAATCCACATAAACACTATCAGAGCTATGAGATTATGAACAGGAAACAAAACCAAACAATATTAATATGTAGTTGAGCATCCTAGGATAAGAAAACAAAGGAGAATGTTTTGAAGATAAGTCTCTTGGAAAATGAACCTTTTTATAAATTGGAACTTTGATAGTTTATGGTGACAAACAGCATTTACTGAATAAATATGAACTTTCTGTTTGTTAACTAAATAGTAGCTTGCCTAGATAGCATGAATCAGGCAAGCCTCACAGACCTGTTGGGACAGAAGGAGGATATCTGATAGACTTCCTTCTTCAGATGCAGCTAACAAAACTTAGCAAACTTGGCTTTAGTGACTCATCTTCCATCATTTGACTTCTTCATGCTACATATGATATAGAAATCCCTGCATGCAAAAAGGCAGGGTAGAAGCAGTTGATTTAAAATAGATATTTTTTGTTGAATTCTGCATTTTAGATTCCAGAGCATGATATTCATATTTCATGCCTTAACTACATCTAAATTGTTAAACCGTGATAGGTTCACTACTGCATGTTAATCTGACAGATATGCAATCTCACTAACATTCTTTTGCCAATGAATTTAGAAATGGAAAAGGGGCAAGGAAAAGAAGGAACAGTTTCCCATTTACTTTCTAACAAGCATGTCCAGAATAATGACTGGCCAAAGGGACAGAGCTAAAAAAACCTACAAAAAACTAGTGGCAAATACTGGGATAAATCATTAGAATGTCACATAACAGATCAAAAATCTATTCCAGATGTATTTTTGCTCAAAGATAATAAGGGAATCATAAACTAATCTCTCATGGTTTTTGTTTTTTGTTTTTTTTTTTTGTTTGTTTGTTTGTTTTTGTATCTTTATTATTATTAATACTACCTTTACAAAGAGCCATGTGAGGAAAGTATAAGCGACAGAGGAGCTGCAGAACTGAAGTTCTGTTTCTGGCTCTGCCACTCACTGACAGTGCCCTTAGCTAAGTCACAAAGCAAATAGCTTCAAAAGCAGGTTGTGTGTGACACATTGCACCAGTTCATGCTGAAGCTCTAAAAGACAGTCTCAGGTATCCAAACACTGCTATCCCTGTATGAAAAATTTCACAGCATGGCCTAACTTATCAGTGGTGGTGAGATATCTAGTCAGCTCCTCTGTACTTCAGTTTCCTCATCTGTGCCTTACCCATCTAGTAGAGACGAGGAAAGGGAACAAAGTGTCCAACTCCGTTAAAGCTTTTTGCTTCCCTTATTCCTATCTAAGTTTGCATGCCTCCTGGCACTTTCACAGCCTCACTCCAAAATGGAAGCTCTTCAGTTCACGTGGTGCAATGGTGTTGCTAAAACTGCAGCTCTTGAAAAGAACGCCAGGACAGGATTTTTTACTGAAATTTAGTTCACTACTCTTCCACAAAGGAATGCTGGATTTATTTAACACCTGAGAGTTAGCTGTTTTGTATGGGAGTACTGGAACCACTTAAGAAGCAGTGAAGCAATAACAGCAATACATGGATTTTCTAGCTAAAAGCCAGAACCCAGTTCATATCCCATTTTCTCTAGCAGAATCTCCAACCTGAGGTGAATGAGGAAACGGTCCTGGAACATTAGCCAACGCTCAGGTGGTAGAAATCAGCACAGGATATACTCATTTACTCATTCCCAGAATCTAGCAAGAATTTCAAATGCAAAACTCTTCTTCCTGCTTTTGCAAAGCGCGGCACAGCCTTGCAGGTGCTGGGGAGATTTTTTTTTGTTAAACATGGAAACATTTGTACTGTTTTTTCATCTTCCTTAGCTGTTATGCCCTAGAACAGAGAGAAAAAAAGAAAAAAAAGAAAAAAGAAAAAAAAAAAAGCAGGAAAAATACTGCTTGTTAAGTGAGATATTATCTGTGTTTTCTGACTCTTTTCTATGGGTGCCGGATACTGCTTGGTTAAATGTATGTCAGCTCTCTCCTCATTTCAGAACTGCAACTGCTTGCCTCATGAAATATCGCTTTCAGAAGAAGAATACAAATTGTGAACTCTGAGGTGGTCTTGCAGTATTTCGGTTCCTCTAGGAGCACATGATGCCAAGATTCCAATAAATGGGAATTGCCTATGCGGGTGTGGGGTTTGGCTCGCTCACGGGAGCTTTGTATTCTATTGGCCTGGCTCACTGCTGCCACAACTGAGTCAGTCACAGCTGCATAAATGCAGCAAATGGAGGCAAAATCACTGCTCCTCTGGTGAAAAAACTGTTCCTAGAGACCAATTTTATTTCGGGAAGGGAAGGGAAGGGAAGGGAAGGGAAGGGAAGGGAAGGGAAGGGAAGGGAAGGGAAGGGAAGGGAAGGGAAGGGAAGGGAAGGGAAGGGAAGGGAAGGGAAGGTCCTCAAAATTCGGTTTATTTATTTATTTATTTTTAATAAAAGGCATAACCAAGTTTGAACCAAGTCACCTAATTCCATAAGCTCAGAGAATATTCTACATCTGATGAGCATTACTCACAGAGTAGGAGAAACAACTAGGAGTATTTTTCATCTGGCATGACAATCCCACTACAGAGCAGACCTCCCTTGTCATGCAAGGAAGCATCCTAGAAGCATGCAGAATCCCAGGAAGAAGGCAAGATAGGGAAAAACTCCTTTCTGGAACTGCCAGCCAGTGAGAAAGAAGTAACATCCCTGAATCATCGCAGTCTCTACTTTTAAGGTCTAGTATGAGCTGATAAGTTCTAGTAAGAGTCAATATCTGTGGAACTTAATTTGACAAACTCATACTTGCATAAGGCTGAGTTCATAATAAATTGAAGTATATTTGCAAGTTCTTTATTTGTCCACTTGTTCACATATCTAATCAAGAGTTCAATACAGCCTCTGCTTACAGAATGTACCAGATGAAACTATCAGCAGCTCAGTGACAGGAAGGGCAGGAAGAGTTCATATAGCTTTATGTTTTTTGTCAGAGGTAAAATTCGTCTTGCACCAATATATTTATTTTTTTAAGGAGAACTATCCTTAATTACAGAAGAGTCCTATTCTCATCAGCATTGTTTGGTAGAAATTCTAAAATGTTCAGCAAAGTATGGCAGTGGTTCAAACTCTGGAAAACTTTGAAAGCTACAAATTAAATGCATGTATACATATTTAAATGCACAAACATTCACACTGCAAAGTTTCCTGCAAATCTTTCCTCTCAAAGAGAGAAGCAGACAGTAAAGAAGGCCAGATGACCTTCTCATCCACTAGATTCTAATTAATATCTTCCACACATCTTCTCCTCACATTCAAGGAAAAATATAATGTGCTTGTAAGAGACAGCAAGCGTGGAACTCACATTATTGCCATTGTGAAAATGCCACCTAGGTAATTGTGGGCATCCCAGGCAGTATGCGCTACCACAAAGGAAGAGAAGATCAGAGCTCCTGGCCCCAGGTGCTCACATGAGCAGGAAAGAGCTTCTGCAGCATGCAGAATAGCTGGGCTCAAACCACCATGTGCCTCAACACTTTGAGCAGATCCAGTACTTTGTCCACACAAGAGTTGTGGCATTAAAAACTCATTGCTTTTTCTGCTAGAGTCACTCATGCTCCAAAGACTGAAGGCATAGGACATGCTTTATTTCATTTACAAATTGTTCCAGTTTGTAACAAAACATTGACATTAAGTATAGCCAGCTTTAATTTTAAAATTGTTAACTGACAAAGGGAGTGAAGCACGCTTGCATAGGGCCTACTAAGAACAACTTTCCTTTAGCAAACCTAGCTGAAAATCGTCTGTTAGCATGAAGTGTTACTATATTGTGGTTCTTTCACTTGGAAAATGCATCTGATTTTCAATTTCCAGGTGATTTTAAAAGTTCTGTGTTCCAATTTTTGTGGAAACTCATCAACATTCTTATAAAGAAGGGGAAAAAGAAAGAAAATTGTGTTCATATATTTCAGGAAAATATTCACAACATGGCCACCCACACTGGATCAGGACCTTCACAGTCTCTTACAGTTGGCCTCTAGGTCTTGAAACTGAGAGCCCAAGAGCTCTCTCTCAAAAAAGAGCCATGTGCCCAGCATGGCTGCCGGAAGGAGGCCTCGGTGAACAGGGCTCCAGGCTGAACACTAAAAGTGAAAACTGAAAGCCATTAACTGTTGCAGCTGCTAACACATTAAGGAAACCAGGAGAGAGACTAACTTATCCCTTTTTAGCTGCTGAAGCACTGAGGTGTCAGTACATGTTGCTTTGCTAAGTTCCAGTACCAATCTGCTAAGGAATCAGTTTCCAAATAAATCAAGAATAAAGCTCCCCATAGGAACATCAATATGGGATTGCAGAATCCTATCCAGACCACCACAGCTCAAATTTCAGAAACTTAACTTCTTTATTTTTCATACATTTCTCAAAATCACAGAATCACAGAATTGTATGGGTTGGAAGAGACCTTTGGAATCACCTACTACAACCTCCTGCTAAAGCAAGTTCAAAAATATTATCACTCTGGACAAAAGCAGTTACAAGCTTAAAGTCTCATGTCAATCAGTCTTCTATTTAGTTTCAGAATCTTTGGAAAAAAGTCAAATAACCCAATGTAGTAAATAAAGTTTGTTTGCTTTTAATTAGTATTTGCCCTCCCCTTCATCTGGTGAACTTTGTTTGTTCTATATTTACTTTGTAACAATCAAAATTTTGCTCCCAAAAGAAAGAGTGTAAATGTGAACCTGACCACGCTTCAGGGATATACTACCAAAGGTTTAATGCAAAATTACTTCTACGCTGCTATATTCCCTTGACTTCTTTATTTACCCAGTTCCTTTTAGAAAATCCATGCACTGTTGAGCTTGATATTAAGTGATATCATTAATTATATCTCAATTCCCACTCTGGTTTTTAAAAAAGACCCAAAGCAATTTTTATTGACAAGAAGAAAAACATTGTACTGTGCTAGAAAGATGAGCAGGAATTTAGGATTTTCTTTGTAATGTATTCATTAAGGACCTCACCTGAAACCTGGGACATATCTTGAGCCTCATCTGTTTCCATTTTCCTCAAGTTATCTGAGAAGAGAGGAAAAGCCTTAAGTTAATGCAAAATAAGACACACGTACAGACACAGAAGAACCTCCCCCTCCCTCCAAACACACATAGAAGGAGAAAGAAGGGGAAAAAAAAAAAAAAAAAAAAAAAGCCCTTTGCTATTTAACTATAAGATTATCTGGGAAGAATAATGTATTTTTCTCTTTATTTCCTCCCTGCATACTTGCTGGAGTATCAGACTGGCACAGACCTTGATCCTTTTAAAAACAGCATTACAAAGATTTATAAAAATATCATTACAAGCACAGGAGGACCAAATTTGTTATTTATTGTTAATTTCCCACTGCATAATAACCCAAAATGCAAACTGACTGCAACAAAATTAAGCAGAAAATTAAATGGCCCTGGGTCATTGTAGGCACAGAATTCATTCTCTTGGTTGATCCATAGTTATGTTCTTTCTAATTTACTGAGCATGCATCGATGAACCTTGAGTCAGCTTGGTGACACGCGTACAATCAGCAATCAAAAAACGAAGCAATTTGCTGAAGAATGTCTCATTTACCCAGGCAGGGCTGCATATCTGAGCAGCAACCGCCACTACCTCCATTAATAATGAATACACCTCAGGCAGCAGCAGATGGGCAAACAGCAGCCTCAGGCGGGGCCCCTCGCTCGTCCAGGAGCCCTTCCTACAGACCACACCGGCCTGGCGCTACACGGGGAGAAGTACAACTCCCTAAAATAGCGAAACAGGCCCAGGAGAGAAAGGGAACCCGGGCCTTCCTGTTTTGCTGACAGATGGCTGGCTCCACCGCTTGGTAAGTCATACTGGGAAGCTCCTGCCCTCCTCTTGCGACACACCATGTTCCGAAGAGCGAGCGACCAGTGACCACAAACACCAGGGAGAAGCAAGCGGAGGGTTAGTGGGGTAGAAATAAAACTCAGGTTTGCAGCGAGCCCTGGGCCCCACACACCGGCCACGGACAGCTGGTAGCCCTGCAGATAACACACGCATTGCTAGAGCAGGTAGTCCCAGCACAACCTGCTCCTGACCTCAAATCATCGTGTGGGCAGCTGAGGTGGCCTCAGGTGGGGAGTGGAAGAACCCTGTAAGCACTTCGTGAGCTGTGCTGTGCGAGGTCACAGCTTGAGCCAGACGTGACTGACTTCACATCCCACCAAAAGAGGAGTTGCCTCTGTGCTTGGTTCCTTAAAACCAAGATACATCCCCCATCAGCCATGTTTCCTGAAGTTAAATTGCATTTTCTTCACAGTTGGAAGCAGAGGAGGATGTGGCCGGGGTTCTGACAGAAAGGGCATCAAGGATATCCTAACGTTTTTAGCCCAACTTGCATGATTTCTTTAGCTTTTTTCCAAGTCTTCTGCATGCTATCTAACAGACAGCAGTGGAGAAGTACAATAGCAGAAGTCATTCATATTGGTCACCTAAGCTTTATGGTCTCCTCATTACCTCTGAATGGCAGCAGGACATCTGAGAACCAATATACTGCCATATCACCTTGTGAAAGTTGGCTTCCCTCATCTGATCCATGCTAGCTTTTCATAACAAAGGAGTGGGAACTTCAGGACTGCAGACGGAGTAGTTGGGAAGCAGGTTTTTTGCCTATAGAGCTGGCAAAGGAGATCTGAATTCTCACAGAATGTGTACCGTGGCACTACTTAATGTTCAATAATGCTTTGTTCACTTTATTTTGCTCTTAAACTTTAATTCCAGAAAAAAAACAATTTGTCTAACATGTACATGTAATTCTCAGAAATTATTCCAGCCATTCAAAATGCAAAAAGCCACATACTACTCAAAAATTTGCATCAGTTCTTATCGCAATCAAGAGCTTTCAATTGGTCCATTTCAAAGTAGAAGTTGTCAGTAGGAAATGCAGCTTCTCTTGCAAGAGGAAGAACACAGAACCTTCCTACAAAATAGCCTGCTTGGTTATTGGAAATTGTGTATAGCACAAGTGCTCAGTACAGTCCATTATTTCTACTGCAAGTGTGACTGAATACAACAGAAAACAAAACAAAACATGCATTTATTACTGCTTGTGAGGGTCACCTGGCTGCTATTAATCAATTGATTATTACATATTTTTCTACAGAGTATAGTGAACCTCAGCCAACCAAAGAAAACATCCCAAGAAAATATCCACAAAAAGGGAATCACATCCCTGATGGACATCTCATTCCTGCTGCACCCAGTTTTCTCTCTTGCTAGGGCTTTGGCAAGGCTGGGAGTGAAAATGGGAGGAAGAGGAGGCAAAAGAGAAAGACTTTTTTTTTTTTTGCTTTGTAGACAAGAGCTTTTAAAAGCCATCAATCTATTTCAGTTCCCAAATTTACCTACTCTTGTTTTACATTCAGTATTTCTGCAACTTAGGCAGCATGCTTCTGTGTGAAAACACTCCTAGTTCCTACATGTTGAGGTAAGGCGAGTTAAATGAAGTACATATAGATTTTGGTTTTTAATGGAATACTTCCTGGATTGCTTTCTGTGAAAGTGGACAATTGCCTGTCCAAAAACTGATGCCCTCAGTTATCTAAGAGATGTCTTCAGAGTTGATATAAATAATTTTAGGTCATTCAGCAAAACTGTTCCATTTGTTGGGGATGAGACACGGAGAAAAAATAGAGATGGTGGAAAACTGAGTAGGGAAAGATTTTTTTTCTCTAAAGGTTATTCATAACAATTAAATATGGTTCCTACATGTAGGTGAAAATCCACAAGTGCTAAGCAAATTGATTAAACAAACAAACAAACTTAAAAAATCCTAAAGATTGCTGAATCCTTCACAGGGGAAAGTCACGCTCTTACACTACAGTATTTTATGGCATCTGGTAAATACCAATGAAATCCCAGCTAACTTTTGTGTGCTCTGTATCAGCAAAGAAAACACGGCAGGGCATTCCCCCACCTGTAATTCTACTGTGACAACAATGTGTTTAGTTTTGGCTCTGTGACTATTAAAAAATTGTTCAAATTGGACATAACATGTCTTGGGTTAAATTTTAAGAGCAGAATTTACTTCTTTCAATTTTGCATGATAAATCTATTAATAGAAAATTATTGTGGCAACCCTGTCCATGGCATGGGGGGGTTGGAACTTGATGATCTTTAAGGTCTCTTCCAGTCTAAGGGATTCTGTGATTCCATGATAAGATTTTATGACCCCACTTTCCTCCTCTGTTCTGGAATCAGTCAAAACATTGTCATCAACTATGTGAAAAGTACAAGAGAACTCTGTGTATGGATATCAGAATTTGTACCAAACTATTTATTTGATATAATTTTTTTGTATATTGTTTTTTTTTTAGGAAATGTTTATGACATGGGTATCCTATTTGTTTTGGCATGAAAAAGAATTGTTTTATATTTTTTCATTTTAAGTTGCATCTACAGAATCAAATTTTTCACAAACAAAAGAAGTGTTTATGACTTCATTGTCTTTAGTTCAGTCACATCCAATTACTCCAATTACATTAGTAGGTAATTCAGGAGCTGAAGTTAGAAATCGAAAGATGGGTGGACAGCTGACCAAAGCAATCTTACTCTCAAATGCCAAGCGTGTGTAGCTTTCATTTATGGCAGGAAAAGGATCAGCACGTAGTGATAATAGATCTTTTTTCTCTTTAGGAATCCAAAAAGCTTCAAAGCTGGCTCCCTTTTTTGAAGAGCTTTAAAGTTCCTTCCAAAAATGTGTAAGACTGCTGCTTCAAGTCTTTTCAGATGTAGAACTCAAACCTATACGTTTTCTTCTTCACAATTCAATTAGCAGATCACAGATGAAGCTAATGCTTTGGAAAAACTATCAAATGTTGAAGTCCTGAGCTCTTGAGCTAATTAATAATAAACACAGACTAAAACTGAGAGGATACACTGATTTTGTTTAAAAGAAGGAAGCACCTAACTGACCACGATCACACAAAAATTTTGGCCTTAAATCAGTCAGCATTTGTCCAGGTCTGGCACAACTCTGAGCCCAAAAAGAACCATGCATGACTAATTCATCTCCTTGCAGCTCTGCAATGCAACTTGAGCTACTTCTTGAGAATATATCATAGTAAGCCCCATGAATCACTGAGGCACTACTCTATTTACACCTATTGTAAATTGCAACAAGTGAATGTGGGAACTTTTAGGATCCCGACTGCAAGTAGGATGAAGTCATTGCAAGGTCAAAATATTCCAATCTAAGAATACACCAAATTAATTATTTGCAAGCCTGAATTTATTATTTTATCTCCTGTTTTACAATGCAAATTCAAAAGTGAACCCTCCTCTTCAGGAAAATGAATGCTTAGCACTAATACAGCTTACTATCAATGCAAAGAAATGTATAAGCATGTTGTCGTACAAATCCTACTCTCTTAAGATCAGCAATATACTTCAGTGGAATGACTTAATTCAGTGCCAAAGAGTTAACTTGTTTCTTTGTTCACTGTCTATGTAGTTATTGACTTCCCTGTGATAAGGTGGGCTTCACAGTCACAGTGGCATCTACGGACTAGAAATCACAAATTTTGACATTTGTGGAGTTATTTCAGACTGGTTTACAGCACACCTTAACTCAGAGCTGGCCTTCCATCTATATGTACCTGTAATTCTGGTGCTGCAAGGAGGACACATATGCACACCATTTGTAGCCTTTCCAGGCAATCAGAAAGGTCCCCAAAAGAACCCTTTGATTCTGAATACATCCCTCAAGGGAACATGCACCTTTACACAAAGGCTTAGAGCAGAAAACACAAGAAGTTTGGTGGGAAGCAAGAAGAACTTTCTACTTGTGTCCTGCAGGTGCTTTTGAAAGCATAGAATGAGAGTAGGTCGCATGATCTTCAGCAGCGGTCGCTCTGGGTTAACAGCGATAAAACGAAGAAGCAAGCTGGCAAACCCCAGCCTCGCTTCCACAGCCACTGTGGGGAAGGAGCTGATTTCACAACTCTAACTTGTTGCAAGCTGCCTGGCAGGAGGAAAAGGGACCGCTCACACAGGTCACTGGAGCAGCTGGCCCTACGTGAGAGCTCTTGCAAGAGTGCAGCTCCTCTTTGTGGTCTTTGACGTGTCTCATTGGCTCCAATTCATATAGGCTACAGCTTTTAGAAACAAATATCCAAACCAGTAAGCAAAAGCATAAAACCCCAACCCACTTTACAACATTTGCTTTTATGCAAAGCATCAAAGATGGGTCCTAGATTCCACCACCTACAGGATACAAAGTTGAATAAATAAATAAAGCAAAACCAAGCAGCAGCCTGGAAAACACAGCAGGAACGCAACCTGTGGCACTTAATGTATCTGATGGGAGAGAGTGTGCAGTAACAACAGGTAACGAGTGGTACATATGCTGCAGCATCAGCCCTTTTTGCTTTTAAGCTGGCTGTTGCATCTTCCTGCAGACTAGTACGGCTGCATTTCTAATTGCATCAGTCCATCTTGACCTAAGAGAACCAAGCTTCTCACATCCACTCGAGTTGATGGTTTTGAAGCAACAACTAAGAGAAGGGAAGCATAAAGACAGCCCTGGAGAAGAATTTAATCTTGACTTTCCTTTTCTTAAAAAAAGACATCATCTAACATTTTTAGCGGGCTTTTTCCTTCATGTACGACTTTTACCTCCCACAAACAAGTGAGCACAAAACAGGAAGGCTGTTGCATGTGAGTAGAAGGTAGTACGTATTGCATAACCAGTGCAAACAGTTGAAGAAAATTGCTAGAATCCTACAAACTAGTTTTAATTAAAAGTGTTCAGTATCCCAACAAGCAGCTGATAATTAGCTTTATTATTATAATTTAATATGCTAGACTTCACAATCTTGTGAACGACTCTACTTTAGAGTCTTCATTTTAATTCTATTTTTAATTTCCGCCTCATCAAATTGCCCAATGTAAATGATAACTACGAGGATGAAGGGTGGTCCTTTCTGAAAACTAAGAGCTGAGAGTCATAATAAGCACATCAGTGTCTTTCTACTCCTGTTTCAAAAACACTCTTGGGATTTTTTAAAAAGTGCATTAAAAACTAAAAATGTTTAAAAGAAGTGCATCGTTTTTTTCTCCCTTTATTCCTCACCTTCTCCATTGATTCCATATTCAGCATTTTCTGTGAAGCCTAGGGAGATGTTTAGTTAATTCAGTCTCTTCTCTAGTGTAAATTCTGGTTAACTACATGAACTGACAATACAATTATAAGCATACAGTCAAATTTCAATGGAGAGCTCCTGTCTGCAAAATGAAGGAAGCACTGTAATTCAACACACAAGATTAAGAAAAGAACTCTGCTAACAGTACAGATTTGAAACATTTATATGTCTGGCACATGTAAAATTAATTTCCATGTTAGTGAACAATTGTGAGGGTGTAAGAAAAGTTGTCTCAGAGATCCTACATAATTCTCAGTTCTTTGGGAATTCTTTGTACAAGCACCAGCAAATGATAGAGTGTATTTTGCATGCATTTATGTGTTTCCATATGTAATACTATTAGCATTTGACTGTACAGACCTATCTTCAGGTAACAATTCCCAGTTAAAGGAGATTATCAAAAAGTCTTTCAGTGACTGTGTGCAAATTACTGAACTTGATATCACTGCAACTATGAAAAAGGTTCCTCTTTCAAGTTTTCACATAGTAACCGGTCATTAAAATTGGTTGCACGATATGAGAAAAATATGGAGGTAATTTTCCTAATTAAGGCCACATTTTATTAACTCATTAAACTCTGTCACTTTTTACTTGATTTTTACTGAAGACAAGAGGAGTAAATTCACCATGACAGAGAAAATGAACATATTTCCATCATATAAATAAAATGACTAAAAACGGTGAGATGTGGAAATTGAGGCACTCAATCTAAGACCGTGGCACGTTCTCAAGTGAGTCAAATGAGCTTTTGAATAGTCTTCCATAACTCTCACTCAAGAGAAAGCAAGGAGCAGATGCAAAACTGCACTTTTGTATCCCTTTAAATAAGTATGTGTGATTTAAAGGCACAGGATATGTGCCTTTAAATATGCAGTTTAAATATGCCTACTTAAATATGCAATAGAGAAAAAACAAAAGGATCTCTTTACGACCAGAATTGTTATTGCCAGATATTCCCAACAATATATCAGTAGCTGATTTGTCTAAATTATAGCAGGTTTCAATAACTCTGCTTCACGATCTTAGAATTGCTTCCTAATTTCTCTTCAAACTGTTCAAGCTGTTACGGATTATTAAAGGACATTATCAGCCTGAATGAGCATATTAAAGATCCATATGATTTTTTTTTTCTAAATAAACCTAAGAATATCTCCTAAAATTACTATAATTGAAATGAATTAGCAAGTTTCTCCACGCCACATGTTTCAGTTATCTCACTCTGCTTTTGCAAATATTTTGGAGCCACTCCACTACTGATGATTCCAGCTTTATAATGCAATTGCTGTGCTGTTCTCAGTGACTTGACACAAGTGGAAAAAAACGAAGCAATGCAGCGAGGAATCAAACCTATCATAAAAAAGAAGTTCCTCTTTTACTGTGAAAGCTTGAGCAACTGGGATCAGAAGAAATTTAGATCATTCACATGAAATATTTTTTAAAATAAGCTAAACTAGTAGACATTCTCTATATTGAAAAAATAAAAAGCAATTCTAGTGTAAATGCTCTTCTAAACATGCAATCTGAGTGGCTTTCTGAGACATTTATACCAGAAGCAGAAGTGTGCCATGCCTGTCCCAAACCTGCATTGTCCCATCCGCATGAATTTTCAACAGTACAAATACGGTTCGAAACATGCACGTATCTTTCCAGGACTAGGACCTACTTCTGCAGCCATCACAGTGTGTTGGCAGTGACCTGCCTCATACAAAAAAACCTACAGTCTTTTCTTACCCACGAGCTTAAAGCATTGAGGAAGGTGGGTCTTAAAGAAAAACGGTGAGGTAGACGTTGGGTTTTTAATAAAGATACATCACAGCGTAATCTCTGGGACCAACGTAATTCTGTTTAAGAAGCAAATTCAAGTTTTGTTGACTCCAAGTTGTAGTTATGTTTATGTACAGATTACAGTCTTAGGAACAACACATCACAGCTGATCTGGAAGGGGGGAGTTTCCCAGCTGGAGTCAGTTTTGCTGGATAGCCACCAGGGAGGGAGACATGCATAGCCTCTTTGAATGAGTGGAAGGTGCTGTTTAACAATTACCATAAAACTGAGAAGGTCAAGGCTGCCTATCTGACCTCAGATGGAATTCACACTTTTCTCTGAATGCTGTAGCTCTCCATCAGGAAAAAAAATAGAATATTTGCATTAAGGAAAAAATGCCCATGTGGAATAGCTCTTTCATCTTCTGACTCTTGCACTGAGTTTCAGCCACCTAACAAAAATATTTCCTGAAAAATCATATTCCCAGAAAAACTTTAGGAGTCCTTACCTCCCACTGACATAATCGATTCCTGGCATTTTTTAGAATGTATCTAGCAAACACATTTAACCCAATGATGTTTTTCCAGCAGTGCAGCCTCCTCCATTTATTTCCCTTTGGTTTTTTTTTTGTTTTGTTTTTTTTTTTGGGGGGGTGGGGGGAGGATTCTGAGAAGAAACATCATTCCCAAACCTTTCTTTTGTGGAAATTTTAACTTCCTAGGAAAGCGTAATTTATCACTTTGAAAGGGGGAATTCCATGGGAGTCCTCTACGATATCAGCCACGTATACTTCTTTACACACATAAAGATGACAACTTTTTCTAAAGACCCCGTTATTGCTACACTGCATTTTACTACTTTCTTATGTTTTCTTTCGTCTAATTCTATTACTTTTAATAATAGTAGAACATAATGACTGGTCAAAATGTAATCAAGTACATATGTGAGTCTTGACTGTAAAACAATAAAATTCACTGTGGACCCAGATCTTTTTACACATAAAACATATTAAAAAATCCCACAAGTCCTCAGTGGAAGTTTTTCCTGACAAAGAGCCACACAATTAGGATATGATCCATGACTTTTGATATCCTTTGGACTTTAAAAATGTTGCCAAAAATGATCTGCCAGAATAGTATTCAATTCATTATGCCCTTCCTTGTTTTCCGTCGCCTGAATGCAAACTGGACCCATTTCCTCATTTTCTGTAAGACTGCACTGATAGTGTAAGAAGTACCTAAGCTCAAATAAAACAAGACTGGAACTTTTTTGGCTTGATTTTGGAGTTATCCGATTTTAATGATGAGAAACAAGCTTTGCATTGTAAAACTCTGTGGATTGATTCTCCACTTACATTTCTGCATAGCTATTCAGTCATTGGAAGGGGCAAGCAAACCAGGTTTTTGGTATTAACCTTTCCACAAGGGAAAGGAAAAGTGCTACAGTAACACCTACATGGGGACTATTGCATTTTTATTGTACTCTGTGTGTAGCACAAATGACAAACATGTCATTGATGCTTGTATAATGAAAAATGCAGCTATTTCTAGAGCCAAGGTGGGAAGTTGCAGGTGTATGGCAGCACTGCGTCCCTGGTGTTACTCTGTGTGTGTGTAACCTGCAAAACTACATTGATGCACTTTGCTCACTGGGAGTTGGGTAGCCAGTCTGGGAACACTCAGCTGGCACAGAGAGCGCACGCAGGACCCATGTCAAAGCATCTCCAAGTCACCGTGAAGCACGAAGGGCAAAGAGGGATGCAAGCCCCATACTGTCTTCCTGTCACTATGTTGGAGAAAGAGATCAAAGTCTCCTTACCGAGGCCCCCCACTCCTTCCCACCTGAATTAGGGCAGTAAGTGGAATTCCATGTTATGCCACTGCCTTCCTGTTGCTTTCCTGGAAGTCATTCCCTGGAGCTGGGTGACTCCTGCAGACAGTGCAGCAGGGTGGACACCCTGGCTCCAGAGGATGACCAGCACTGTGCTTCTGCTGGCTTCCATATGGTTCTCATTCCCACTCAGTGGATCAGCTTGCTTTCTCCTTGGCTTTTTATCCTCAATTTACCTCATGTTAAGGGACATCTTTCATAATTCTTCATATATTTTCAGATGTGCCATATATTGAGTTCCAGGTTTAGATTAACTTATCCCTTTCCAGCCTGTCCCCCACTCCCAAAAATAAAGAATATTCAGATCAGTCAACAAGTGTAATATTTGTGAGAAAATCTTTAAAGCTGGAAATGAGTCTGGGATAACAGAAATGTGAACTAAGGAAAGTGCAGAGCTTTGCAGTATTTCAGACACTTCCCCACGCAGTTCTGCTAAGGACAGCTATCAGATTAAGAGTGGTAGCACATGGTTTGTGCTTGGTTTCTCATGTCCACATGTAGCAGTTTCAAAGGCTTTCATACAGCAGTAAGGCACACAGTCATGTAACTCCTGCCTGGGAGTGCTCTGTTCGGGATGGAGGGATCCTTTTTTGGGAGTGGGAGGGCTGGGAAGGAATGAGCAGGTGGAGATACACTGCACTCTAAACAGCATATCCTGTATTTTTCATTCAGTCATAAAATAAATGTAAGTTAAAAATCAAAGGAAAGCATATTGATGTTAGAAAGAAGTTCCTGCATGGGAGAGATGATACCTCATGGACAAAGCACATGCTATGAACTACTGTATGTTACTGCTACATTAACCTCGAAAGAGGAATATTGGGCTTTTGCATGGTAATATAATCAAATCTATTTCCACTTTTTTTTTTTTTTATTTTGTCTTAAATTTTCCCTCACTAGAGGCAAAAAATAAATTTCCCTCACTAGAGAAAAAGAATAAACAAAGTTAGTTAAAGGTAAAAATTTGCTTTGTAAAATCCAAAAGCAATGACATTTTCATGTAAAAAAGCCACTTCATCCCTAATTTCTCCATTTCACTAAGATTCCAAACCCTTAAACTATGCAATTCACCAGCCAGGCAAGAGCAGTACAGTAAGGCAGCCACAACATCCCCCAGCAGAGTTAATGCAGATGAAGTCTTTTGAAGTATTTGGAGGGATTTAAACATGTTTGGTTGTTTTTTGTTGTTGTTGGTTTTTTTTTTTTGTCTTTTTTTTCATGTTTTTCTTTATATTTCATTTATAATGTTTTATAGACAGCCACACTATTTGGTGCTGCAGTGTGCATGTGAGCAGTCAACTGAAGCTACTAGAGCGCGTCTTTTAAAGGATTTGGCCCTTACAATGCAATAAAGCCTTTAATTTTAGAATTAGATTATTAAAGTCTAGCAAATGGTTGTAAAGGTGAATGCGTGAATTATAACCAAAATTAGATATCTTTTTTTTTCTTTTGGACTGCTGGACAGTAAATGCATATGGATTTGTGGCATCCAGTTATTGCAAAGAAAAACGTGTTCAGGAGGGTCTAACTTCTCAGCCCTGGCTCAAAGCCTTTGAAAATGCCACTTGCAGTGCTATGTGGTAGCAGACTCAATGCAGGACAGAGAAGAAAAAAAAAGAAAAAAGAAAAAAGAGGAGAAAAGAGGAGAGAAGAGAGAAAAGGGAAAGAAGAGAAGAGAAGAGAAGAGAAGAGAAGAGAAGAGAAGAGAAGAGAAGAGAAGAGAAGAGAAGAGAAGAGAAGAGAAGAGAAGAGGAGAAGAAGAAAAGAAAAGAAAAGAAAAGAAAAGAAAAGAAAAGAAAAGAAAAGAAAAGAAAAGAAAAGAAAAGAAAAGAAAAGAAAAGAAAAGAAAAGAAAAGAAAAGAAAAGAAAAGAAAAGAAAAGAAAAGAAATAAGAGCCAGCATTATTTTCCTTTACAGCCATTCACTCAGTACAAGCCAGTGGACATACTAGTCTAAGAATTCTTGCATTGCACAAAACGTCAATTTTTTAGGGTAATTTCAAGCCTAAGCTCCAAATGCTCACTGACACAGTATTACCACCATCCCATCTTCTAGAAGTTTTGTTAGCAGAACACTCCGCAGCACACCTGGCAGCATTACCATACCTTCCAGACCAAGGTAGGAAAGTAATCCAAGAAGCAATCGGGTTTCTTGAAGCACAAAATTAAAAGTTTCCTTAGCACCAAGCGCTGCAGTGGGAAGTCGCTCCTTCACACGCGGGGTTCCTCACTACACACATCTTCCTTAATACTGCCTACGGAGTGAAACAGCCCCTTCGCAGAAGGGGTAACTTTGCGGAGCAGCGGGAAGGGAAACCTCCGGCTGTGACAGTCTGTGCGCCAAGACAAGGAAGGGAACTTCTGGCCGCCCGGCTCTCTGGGCGGAGGCCAGCTATCAGTGACACCGTTTCCTCAACCCCGACCCGAACGGTTACAGCGGCTGCCAGCCCCGTGCCGCCTCCTCTCGCAGCTACCGCTGCCAGCAGCGAGCGCTGGGACTGGGGCAGGGCTGGGGCTGAGGAGCCGCCGAGCGGGAGCGCAGCGAGGACAGCGCTCCAGCCGCCCCCTGCCCTGCGAGCCTATGCCCACCTCGGCCAGCTCCTCGCTTTTCCGACATTCAAAGCAGCCTCCATCTCTCCCAGCCCAGCGCGCGGCGTTTTTAAACAAAAAGCGGGGGAGGACGGGAGCGCACGGGGAGGAAGCACGGCGGGCTCCCGGCAACTTCTCCCCGGCCCCGCACGGGCACCCACCCGCTCCTCGCTACCTGCAGCTCCGGGCGGGCGGCGCTCCCGCTGCCGGCGCTGCCCCCGGTCCGTTCTCGCCCGCCCGCAGGTGCCGGTGCCGGTGCCGGTACGCGCCCGCCGCGCTGCTCATGGACGGAGGCGGCGGGGGGGTCCGCGAGAGGAGGTCAGGGGGCAGAGACTCCTCGGCGCACCCGCGTCTAGCGGCTCGGGGTCGGAACTTGAGCAACTTACTTAAAAACGGCGGCGGCTGAAATCCAGAGCTCCCGCTTCGGTCCAGAGAACACGGCGGACCCGGAGGGGATTACTCACACGCGCAGCGATGAAGTGCGTCTACGCACTGTGGTGGTGGAGTGGGATCTCATTTTTGCTGTGCTTCATTCAGTTCCTCATCTTGCAGATGAGGATAATGGCACTTCCTTTCTTGCATCCTATCTTCATCTGCGCTTTCACAGTGCAAAAAAAATTAGGCATGGAGATAACTTTACGTGTGAGTCACCCCGCTGACTTCAAGGGGGATCATCCAGAGATGCACAGTTAAGTGAGCATGTAAGCATGTGAAAGCCCAGGGTCTGCCCTCTGAGCTCTGCAGAACAGAAGTCACCTATTACTCAAATTCTACACTGAATGGTTAAATGTGGTCCCCAAGGCAAAGCAAGAATGACAAGGCTGCATCTGGGGAGTTCTTTCAAGGACCCTTCCCTCTGGGAAGGCCTGCAGATGTGTCCTTCACTTTTCAGGTAATGTCTGGGCACACTCCAGATGAACCAGGTACACTCTATTGCTTTGCAAGCTTGTAAGCCATCATTTTTTCTCACTTTGCAGAAGTGCTCAACCCTCTTCATATCACAACTTATGCATAGACCTTATGGATCTGATAGGATTGAAACCCAGATCCAATTATCTGTTATTCTAGAACACCTCTACATGTTTCAGCAGTGGGAAAGAGCAGCATTTTACTTGCAGAATCACAAACGTGAGA